GAAAACCGGGCTCCAACCAACATGTTGCGATTTGTAGCATCCAACTCCCATCCATTCAAACCCAAGATCACCCACAAGAAGTCCTCAGTCCTCTGCTCGATGCCAGGCTCGGCGGGGAGAAGGCGCCTCAGGCCCGGTAGGTCTCAGTGAAAAGATGGCTAGCTCGTAACTATTGGAGGGACACGGGGACGCACTCATTTCGCCGTGGTCATATTCTGACCATGGGCTCAAATGCCATAACATGTCAGCGTTGTTCGGCGGCGTTGGGATCGACGGCCTGCTGTCAACGGAGCGTCAGGTGCAGAGAGTCCGCACGCTTTTCATGCGACAGCTGGTCGCATCCTCGGATTGCATGGGCAGGTTTCGGAGAAAGCATCGGCAGGCCACTCGAATGAACGTGCTTTTAGCAGTATCCTGGTTTGTCACGTTGCCAGATCCGGCCATGTTGCCTTGCCCATACATTTGTGATTTTTGAGTGGGCGGACATGACTCTCAGTTTTACTATCAGCTTCGGGGGAGCCGCCATCAATGAGCAGCCCTCACCGAAGCCCGGCTCAGTTGTTCATCGCCTTTCACAAGGGGCCGTGACCCGTCGCCTCGGTGGAAGATCCTTCTGGCACTTGGCTGGGCGCATCTTCCCCAGCGTCACTCACGGGATGAATTGCTGGGCCTCCAGCACAGATCCCATCAGGGTTGGACAAAGCACCGGTGAGGCAACTGATGGGTTCATCAAGTCAACTCTAGTGACTTACCCATACTTCAGCTGCCTAGTGGAACCACCTTGCCAGACCTGTTAAATTGAACCTCGCAAAGAGACTTGTTTTCTACGCTTGCCTGCAAAGGGCTCATAAACAAGGGCCCTCATAAACACGGGCCACTATTTTTACTGTTTCTGGGGGTTATCAAAGCCAGATGTTTCCCTTTCACCTTCCACTTCGGGGCTGTCTGTGATGGTAAAATCATGGGGCCAGAGACAGCTCCCCAAGTCTTCCTATCGCAGACGTTCGAGCGGCGGCTTATCCCGAGACCTCGAGCTGGCGGATCGGCGCCGAGGCGCTGCCGCTGCTGGGCATGGAACGGTTGCGGGAGGCTCACAGCACCTTCGAGGCGCTGAGACGTCGACACCCCCGTTGCGGTGGGGTGTGTCTCAAAGGGCAGTTTCAAACAGGGTCTCTCAACGCAGGGACCCCGAAACCAGCAAGATTGGCGTAAACCCACCGTTTTCGGGGTCTCCTATTTTTACACATGCCCCCAGAGATTCCGAACATGATGTTGCCCTCAAGCGTTGATCCGCAGCAGGGGTTTCTCAAAATTGCTTTAGGGGCGGGGAAGCCCTGCAAAGCCCCGTTTCAAGGGTAACTTCTAAAATGGGCCCGGAGCCCATGAAGTGCTCGGAAGTATCCTGCACACAAATGGCGTCTTACTCTGCGACCCGGAATGGCACAAGTGGTTCAAGTGCCTGCATGCAGAATTAACACTGAGTGAATCATGTATTTCTCGTCACCACCCCTTTGAAAGAGGTTCTTTGAAAACTGCAGGCACAGGCAGGAGAAATAGATGGAGTGGCACATGTCAAGGATCTCTCCCTCTCTCTCTGTCATGGGGCAAGTGCATTGCAGCTTGCGGGCAAATGATGCATCCGACCTTATGATTTTTGCAGGGCAGCTTGGAGCCCGCACTGCAGAGCCGACACCCCAGCGCGCTTGGTTCAGCTTTGACACAAGTGGCTGTTGACAGCGGGGGTGCCAGGGCCCCGCTTGGATTGCGGCACCCGCCAAGACACAGGAACTTTAACCATTGGTTCAAATTCAGGCCGGGCTTTCTTGAGCCGATATGAGGCATGAGGTTCTAGCAATACTTGCTCGGCTGCACGTCAGCCAGCCAGATTTAACATGTACTGACAGAGCCGGTGGAGCCGTCTCCGTTTCAGTCCTCTGTGAAGTTTTTGTGTTGCCTGCGCCCGACAGCCTGTGCCGATCAGGCCAGGCTACTGTTGTAGACATCCTGCCCGATCATTGTTGTCCGCGACTTTTCTTTGCGCGTCTTGCTTACAGGCCTTGAGTACCAGAGTTCTTCTTGATCTCATTTTGCAAGAGAGCTGGTGTGTTCAAGTTCCAAAGCATTCCTCAAGTAGTCCTTCTGCCAGAAGGTAGTGGTTTCCCTTTGCCGCGGGTTGCAGATTGGGAAAATCGGAGTCCGGGACCCAATTTCGAACAACCCCAGTTTCAGCTTGTTGGAAGCCCACAAGGCCACCATTCTTAGGATCCCCATTTGCAAGAACCCAGGGGTCAAGGTCCCCATGGCTCCAATTGGTTTGTCAGTTTCTTGAGATTGAGGGGAAACACGGAACATCTCTTGCAGGGTGCTTGAAAGGATGCATTTGGGCCAGTCAGACAATCTCTGAAATTAGCTGACTTAGGACAAATCCTCGTGAAGCATCCCTGTCAATCGCCGTGCTTTCTGGCGCTGTGATGCCAATGGCGATGAGAAGGTTCCCTGAGAAGAGCCATCACCTGTGCTCATTACTTTCTTCCCTGAAGCGTTTTCCTGGCGCAGATTCCGACTTGCCCCCAAGACCATTCTTGAAGGTTCATCCCCCCCCCCCTGTGGATTCCTCCCCAGGCTCATCCTCAACATCTAAAACGCAACCAGGTAATCCCCAAAATGCCCAGGTTTCCACACGGAGCAAGGAACCGGTTGCCAACATCTCGGGTGCCGAGGCCGCACAGCCGCCGCGAAGGCGGCAGCGTTGGCTGCCCCTGCGGCGGAGCTGTGGCGGAGCAGGGTGCGGGCTCAAGCCAGGGGAATGCGGGGCGGATGGCAAGTGGGCGTGGCTTCTTTTGAGGGTTTAACGGGAAGTGAGAGGGACATCCATCTTCTTTTCCATTTTTTTTTTGGGGGGGTTGCCTAGTTTAAGACACACCCAAATGGGTGTGTCATTTGTTGCCAGATATCCGGGTTGGTGGACGGAAAATCTAATGATTCCCTTTGAAAGGAGGCTGCTTGAAGTGTGGTTCAGACATGTTGAACCGGCTTGGCCCAACCTTGTGGTGACGGTCCTGAAACGCGGGTTCCATATGAGAGCTTCGTGAGCGGCTTCGGTTGCAAGTGACAGGCTGTCGCTTGAGGGTGTAAATGCCCTTTTGGCTTTTCTTAACAAGGGCCTTGTCTTTGAGCCCCAGCCTGTAATTGTTTGCCCAACTTCACGGAGGTCACGTGTAAACAAAGCCCGGCTGGGGGTTGGAAACCCTGAAAGTCCATTGATTCAACGCCTGTCCCTGATTTGATTGGACAAACCTCCACAGGCCAACAGGGCCCGTTTTGTTTTCCGAGCCCAGCGCCGCGTTTTGTTTTTCGAATCGAGGCACCACTGGAGGAGAAGCTCCAGGAGGCCAGTCGTCCAGCCGGCACCCCGAAGCGGCCAACAGCGGACTGCAGCGAATGGTTTTGCGCGGTGCGTGGAGAGAAGACTTAGCAGACTTAGCCTGCCTCTTTCATTCCCCTAGCAACAAGTCGACAGTCGACTCGAACGACTCGAACCGCTAAACCGCTAAAGAAGCCTCATGCAGGATGTGTGTCCCTTGTGCCTATGGTCTGGAAGCAGACTTCGATATGAATTGCAGAAGTCAGGCAATGGCGCGGCTGGCAGGTTTTCACAGGCTCAATTCTGACAGAGAAATCATCACCGCCCCGGTTGATTAACTTGCGGGGAGGTCCCGATCGAGTGAGGGGAAACACGGCCCCAGTCAATCCGCAAATTTAATTCATCCGGGGGCACCCGCAAAACCACCCACAAAAGTAATTCCGAGAAGCTCCACCAAGGCCATGGTCATGGTCTCCGTGGGCACCGAGCCCGAAAAGGCGCACGTGTTGTTTCTTGCGCCTGGGTCTTTGAGGGACTGGAGCGGGCCTTTTTGGCAAGATACCTCTGACCCGCCAGCTACGTTGAGATTGCACGCAAAGTAGCGCATGCAACTTGTTCCTGCAGTGCTCTTTGCGCTAGCTGCAGCACCCTTGGCAAACCTTCACAGCCTAAGGGTCTGTATCTCGTGGTGCTTTCTTGTGTTTTTATTGGTTGGCCCCCTTGCGATTTAGAATGCGGGTGGAAGGACCTTTTGCGCTCTGCGTGAGAGCTGGCCACCCTTGAGCAAGACGGCCTATTCTGCTACATGTCTGGTCTGCATCAGTTGGTCCACCTTCGGCCCTCGAGCAACCCCAAAAGAGGAACTGGGATGAACTCTGGACCGTGAGTTATCTTCTGATTTCACGAGTCATGCACCAACGGTGTCACATAGTATAAATGATACATATACATATATATATATATATATACAGATGGGTATGCATGCGCACATGCGCACACACACATACATACATACATACATACATACATACATCCAACCCAAGCACAGCTACATACATACGAAAACAACTCCCTCCCCTCCATACATACATACATACATACATACATACATACATACATACATTACATACATACATACATACATTACATACATACATACATACATACATACATACATACATACATACATCCATACATTACATACATACAGACCCCCGAATTACCATCCCCCACCCAACACAACATACCATACAATACCCACACCCCTCCCCACCACCAACATGAATACATAAATACATAAACACATAAATTCATACATACATACATACATACATACATACATACATACATACATACATACATACATACATACATACATACGGTGTAATATCAAACATGTCGGCAATGATTGACGTGGCTTCACTGAAGCCGCTTCAGGGCCTTTTCTCAAATTCATTGTTCGCACCGTGCCAAAACTCAGCGCTTGCCTTCTCATTTGTTCTCATGAATCTGAAATCAAACAAGTTGAGCGATGTGTTTCGATGGTTTTCGGATGTGTGGTTTATATCCTTAGCCGTTTTGCAAATTCATTGGAGATATTCTCTGGTTGCTTGAGCATGTTTTTCTCCGAAGCCAGGCGGCGCCTGCGGACATCGTGGCTGCCGGGGCCTCGCGGTCCATCAAATATTTGGGAGTGCTTCATGGGATTCGGACCCCGTTCTGTATTCACAAAGGACACTGCCTTTGACAGTTGTTGAAAGAAACCTCTGAAGAGGAAACGGTCCATGCAGGACATGGACCCTTTGCGGAACCTTCATCGGGGCCGTTAAACAAGAATCACACAGATGCCGGCTGATTTAGAGGATGCAAATCCTGGTGAAGCGTTCTCGTACCTACTGTAAGAAAGCTCCTTTTGCAGGGATTTTTGTGCTGGGCTCCTCGAAGTTTACATGTTGCACATTTTGACGGGTGCTCATTTGACCACTTTTGGTGGTTGGTGCCCTTGAGACCACCAAAAAAAGGTCCTACTAAGAAGGAGCTAAGTAGAAGGTTGCAAGGCCGCTAGCAGCGGCATTGTGATCATCCACAGCCATTGTCAGTCAGCATTCAGAAATGCTGCAGCCAATGGCCAGCATGCGTCAACCGTCCCCCCCCCCCCCCCACCTTTTCGCAAAGTTCGATCACGGGCCTTCCAACCCCACGAACCCCACCAGTATTGGCTCCGCTCCGGCGAACGCGAACCGCCTCCTTTTCGTCGTTCTGATTTGAGGAGCTGCTCGCCGTAGAGGAAGCCTCCGGCGACAAGGTTCAGCACTGTCTGATCTCGGGTCGGTTCTTTTCTTTGCGGAAATCACGGGGAAACGGGTTCCCCAGCCTGAAAAGACCAGCAATGCGCAGCTCGATTTTGTTTCGGGGCACCGAGGTTCTTGGAGTCCTGCTTGCGCCGGTTGTTGCCGCCGGCCGCAAGCTGTTGGCGCGACGGGGGGCGTGACGGGCCCTTTGGACCAAGCTGCAAAAAGGCCATTGGGGCACTCAGCAAAACAAGTTGGCCTCACCCAACATCCATGGCAAATGGCTGATTGGTTGCCTCCAGCACAGCAAGGGATTTGGGAATGAGCACATTAAGCACGGGCATGTTTTGCCCATTCAGTTTCCCACAGAAAGCAAGGAAGCTCACGAAAATCCCCATCGGGAACTGACAATTCTGACCGCGTCGGTGATGTAGCTGCAATGGCTACAAGTCACAAGCTCAGCTCGTCTCGCACATTTCACTTCCTCAGTGGACGTTATTAACACTTTTGGGACCATTTTGGTGGAAGGTCCAGATTTTGGTTGCCAATCCACTCAGGACGTGAGAGATCATTTCATGGGTAGGCCTGGCATGTTGCGGTTGGATTCATCAACCCTGTTCCTATACGGGCCTTGTTTTCCCAGCCTACATGCCTGTTCTTGCACTGCCAATTTGCTTGTTGGCTTTATTTTTTTGCCCCACCAACAAAACGGCGGGGGGGGGGGGGGAGGGGGGGACAGGGGGTCGAAAAAGCAGGGTCTTCCCAGGATCACCACGCAGCAAATCGGTGCTGTAGGCCCAGAGGTACAAGCCTGGTGCCCGTCGAGCCCCGCCGACCTTCGGGCCAACACAACTTAGCTTCTAGGAAGTGAACACGGGTTTGGGCAACCTGGGAGCCCCAAAAGAAACGAGGGATGGTGGAACAGGGTGATTCCTACTCGTTGCCTATCGAACGAACAATCAAGGGCACTTTAAGCTGTGGGTTTGGAAGCTACGCATGAGCAGCAAAGCCATAAAGGCATGGTTGGATGAACGTGCTCTAGAAGTGGTATATAACCTCCCTACCTGAAAAAAAAAGAGCACGCAACAACTCCTGGGCTCATTGCCTACCCATCGGACCATCAAGAGATTCCACCAACATGTCTTTTTCCCCAACAAAAACGAACAACCACCATGAACACACAACATGGAACAGCAACACATGCCAGCCTCACCTACCTCGAGACGCGCGAAGGTGAGCTGCCGCTCTTGGCGGCGCTGAAGAAGCGCCAGGCCTTGAAGCCCGAGGTGCGGTGAGAGAATCCGTTTGGTGCAACAGGCCCCACCCAGGAAGAAGCCCTAGGGCGCTCAGTGGAAAGCGGAAAGCTCCCCCACTAAAAAGGGGACATCCCTCTTTTGGTTGGGCAGGGCTTGTTCATCCGCTCCTTTTTTTCTCCCCCCGTATCTCCATATGGAAGAAGGTTTTCTGGCTAAGCGACTCTTGGGAGCAGCCATTCGACGTTTTAGCCAAGCCTCAAATTTACCCCAACGGCTTCAAGAGGTTCCCGCATGCGCTTTGTGGACCCGGACTCCGGGGCCCGGATCAACGGTTCCCTTCGGTCGAACTTGGCGAGGTTGACCATTCCTACCAAGCCCGAGCAGGGGGGTTGACCGTGGACCCGTGCGGCTTTCCAACCAGCAGATCATTTTCTGCTGGTTGCCCAAAAGCCAAACAAAAACAAATGTAGGGTGACATGGAGGTCAAGAACTGGCTCTTGAAGGGATACCTTCGGGCAACCCAAATACCATCTGAGGGTCACTACGGTACCAACGGACTAAGACAGCCCCAATATGTACCTTCGGTGAG